ATATAGACAACAGAACAAGAGCAGGGACCCTCAACTGGAGCCTTTTGGGGGAATGGCCTCACTATGCTTGGCCCTAAGCATAACTCTGTGGAATAGTAAGAACTTGAGGAAATCGTGCAAACTTTGATGCTTTCCTGCCTAAAATCAATAAACATTATTTTTTCAATTTTATTGAGAAATAATTCAAGTACAATAACTATACTCATTTTAAAGTATATTAAATGAGTTCTGACAGATGTACATGCTCCTGAAATCACAATCAACACAGAAAATTTCTATCACCTCTAAGAGTCCCCTATAACCCTGTGAAGTTCATCCTTTCCTTCACTCCTGGCCCCAGGCAACCACTGATGTGCTCTCAGTCATTATAAATTAGTTAGTATTTTCTAGAATTTCATGCACTATGGACTGGTGTCTTGCGTTTTTTCAGAATAATTTTGTGATTCATTCATGTGTATCAGTAGCTGTCTCTTTTTTAAAAAATAAATTTGTTTATTTTTGACTGCATTGAGTCTTCATTGCTGTGCACAGGCTTTCTCTAGTCGTGGCAAGCGGGGGCTACTCTTCGTTGTGGTGCGCGGGCTTCTCATTTCAGTGGCTTTTGTTGCAGAGCACAGGCTCTAGGTGTGCAGGCTCAGTAGTTTGGTGTACAGGCTGAGTTGCTCTGCAGCATGTGGGATCTTCCTGGCCAGGGATCGAACCCGTGTCCCCTGCATTGGCAGGTGGATTCTTAACCACTGGGCCACCAGGGAAGTCCCAGTTGTCTCCTTTTTATTGAAGAGTAATATTCCATTTTATGAATGTATTTCATAATTTGTTTATCCATTAACCCATTGATGGACATTGTTTCCAGTTGTTCACTATTGTAAATAAAACTGCTGTAAACATTTGAATACAAGTTTTTAGGTGGACACATTTTTCTTGTGTAAATACCTAGGACTAAAATGGTTGAGTTATATGACAGGTTATATGACAGCTGACACTCTTCTAAAGTGGTTGTACCATTTTATATTTTGACCATCATTGTACAAGGTCCAATTGTAGCACATCCTCAATAACACTTTGTACTGATGGACTCTCTAATGTTTAATATTAGCTATTTTAGTGGATGTGTCCTATATTTCACTGTGGTTTTAATTTGCATTTCCTTACTAATGATGTTGAACATCATTTCATGTGCATATTGACCATTCATATGTCTTCTTTTGTGAAAAGTTCATTCAAATCTTTTGCCTAATTGTTTATTGGGTAGTTTGTCTTCTGTGTATACATTACATACACGGTGAGGCAAGAATCAATGTTCGTTTCCATAGATAACCAACTGTTCCAGACTTTCCTTTCCCCATTGAACTGTTCTGCTTTTGATGAAAAGCATCGGACCATACAGGTAAGGATCTATTTCTGCTCACTGTACTCCATTCTTTTGACCTTCCTGTTCATCCTTTCACCAGTTCCACCCTATCTTGATTACTATAGCTTGATGTTAAGTCCTCAAATCAGGTAGTATAAAGGTAGTATAAGTCCAACATCTTTGTTATTTTTAAAAACTTCTTTAGCTAGTCTAGGTCATTTGCATTCTAATATAAATTTTAGAATCAGCTTGCCGATTTCTACAAAAAGCTTACTGGTATTTCTGTTGGAATTGCATTAAATCTATACATCAATTTAAGGAGAAGTGACATCTTAACAATATTGAGTTTTCCTATTCATGAACATGCTATATCTCTCCATTTGTTTAGGCCTTTAAGAATATCTCTCAGTAATTTTTTTATAGTTTTCACTGATGAGATCTTACACTTCTTTTATTAAATTTATTCCTAAACATTTTGTGTCTTAGTGTTATTATAAATTGATTAAAGTTTAATTTTCCAATTGTTTGCTGCTGATAAATAAAATCATAAGTGATTTTTGCTATCTTATATCTTGAGACGTTGCTAAATTCACTTATTAGGTCTAGCAGTTATCTGTAGATTCCTTAGGGATTTCTACATAGACAATCATGTCATCTACAAATAGACAGTTTTACTTCTTCCTGTCTAATCTTCATGGCTTTTATTTCTTCTTCTTGTCTTAATGCAGCAGTTAGGACCTCTAGAATAATGCTGAATGAGGTAGTGAAAACAGACATGCTTGCCTTGCTCTTCAACCTAAGGGACAAAGTACACATTAATTCATCAGTAAATATGATGTTTGCTATAGATTTTGGTGTAGAAGGCTCTTATCAGATTGAGAAAGTTTCTTTCTAGTCCAATTTTTTATTATAAATGGGTGTTGGATTTTGTCAAATGCCTCTCTGCAATATTGAAATAATCACGTTTGTCCTTTGTTCTGTTAGTATAATTATACTGAACGATTTTCAAATGCTAAATCAACCTTCCCTTCAATTACCCATTTCCAGAAGTCAAAAATTCTCTAGGCTGTGTGAAAAAAAAACATGACTACAGTGGTTTAACCAAACATGGGTTTATTTTTCTCACTTAACAAGCTTGAAGAAAGTTCAGCACGATTTATCAGCTTTCCAATGTCATTAATGTCCCAGGCTCTTTCTTCTTCCCTGTTCTATCATTCTTAATGTATGGCATGCCTCTTCATGATCTCAAGAAGTGTTAATGCACTTCTTGGCAAAGATCTTCCTCTTAGGTAGAAAAAGGAAAGGGAGAGCAAGCAGAAAGGAACTGGGGACACTTATCTCAGAAAAGTAATACTTTTATATAAATCCTTATTAGATTTGTTCTTGCATTTCAAGAGCCAGAACTGTGCCACTTGGCTACATACAGTTACAAGAGAGTTTGGGGAAGTAAATTTTGTTTTCCCTTTTTTTTAAAACTAATTTAAAATTACTTTGTTTGTAAAAATGAGTCACTGTGCTTTGTTCCTTATTTTTTCATTTTATAATAAAAATTTCAAATATGTACAAAAGTAGACAGGATAGAATAATCACCATCATGCATTCATGATGTGACTTCAATTATCAACTCATGGCCAGCACCATTTCATCTTTACCTCTATCCACTTTCACATACCATATTATTTTGAAGCAAATCTCAGACATCATATTTACCTATAAAATTTCAGTAGGCATCTCTACAAGATGAGGACTTTATAAATTATCACATCTAAAGAAAATACCATTATCACATCTAAAGAAAAAAAATGTAATTATTCCTTAATTTCTTCAAATATCCAATCAATACTCAAACTTCCAAGAGGTAAGTTTTTAAGCTGGACACATTTCTTCTGTCCCCCACCCCCAAATCATGATTCTATTGGTAAAAAAGGAAAAGGAGAGTATATATTGAGTAGGCAATCTACAGCACCCGCCACACCATTTGTATTCAGTATACTATAAAAGTAGCTTGTCTCAAGAACGTTTCTGGGGCAAATAATACAATATTCTTTCTATAGTTAAAAATGTTATCAAATGAGCATTTTTAGTTAAAGGTGGCATTAAAACAGTAGCATTAGACTTTTTAGGAGCAGCCAAGTTTTCCTCTTTAAGAGGTCTAACTTTAGTGTCCAATGAGACATTTGTCAATTTTTTAAAGCAGTTACTCACAAATCCCAGCTAACTGAAGTTGTTTGTATCTACAACATTTTATGTTCCTTAGGCACTGGCAACACGTTAAGTCATATTTGTTTATTCTATAACTCCTAGTACAGAGGAGACACTGAGTAAATGAATATTTGTTAAATGCATGGACAAGATGGAAGAAAGTAACCAAAGCCTACTAAAGGATGCTACCAGTCATCCATAATGATACTACTGAAATAAGGAAAAAAAGGACTTCTAGAGTAAAAAATCCAAAAAAAGCTGATTTATACATTTTTTTCCTCCACCATGTTTAATTTCCCTTGTATCCTTGGATGAATTTTTTTTAAACATCTTCAGGATATCTCTTATATACAAAAGTTTGTTTGGGTTCCACCAGTGTTTTAAAACATCCTATTTGTTTAGAAGTAATTGAAATTAGGAAGGAAATGCTTTCAAATACTCCAGTTGTATCAATATTTTGTTGAAATGGTATTAAAGAAGGAGATAGTGTGGTAGTTAACTTGCATGTCAATATTAAACCACAAAAATATATAAATTTAATAAAGCTACTGCTTAATATTTACTCTAAATGACTTTTTAACATGCTAAACCTCACTGTTAAAGTAGTAAAGACATGTAGCCTTTGAAAAGAACATAGGTTTCAGAATCAGATCTGGGTTCAAATCCTATAGGTTTGCTTACTGCATAGCTGTTTATCCTTTCAAAACACTGACTTCCTTTAAAATAAGAATAACAGCACTTACCCCAAAGTGCTGTTGTGAGGATTGAGTGATACAATCAATAAAATTACCTGGCATATAGTAATCACCCAAGAAATGTTAATTGTCACTATTATGTAAGTGATTTAACTACAAAACGTTCCATTTACTAAACATAAATAAACCCAAAACAAAGTTTAATATTCTAAAATCAGATAAAAACAAACTCTTAGCTTTCAATAAAGAAAATTGTCCTCTCACCTATTCTTAAAAACACCAGAATCAAAGGCCAGAAGAGTTCTTGTCTGCTTACAGCGAAGTTTGCTTAACAGTACTCATTTTCCTGAGTTATGTGACGAAAAGGTCTTTTAATGAAATTCCTATTTTCTTATCTCTAAAGAAATAAATGAATGCTCCTGGTACTGCTAATTCACTCCAAGTCTTACTGCACCTGAGTTAAACACATATTTAACAACACCTGCATACATTTCTAAAGGAAGCACGAGTAAAAACAATATTGAATCTTTGCTCATTTTATTATGAAAACTTCACTACTTCCTAGAAGAAGGAATAAGTCTTTCACTTTAGTCTTTGTATTGTAGTAATTCATATACCAAAATAATGACCTAATACTGTGGATAGATTCATACACACACACACACACACACACACACACACACACACACACTGACATATATACTTCACTAACAGGACTCACTTTCCCAGAAAATATTAAGTAATCATTGTACCTTTTGTGGCAAGATTTCTAGATACTGAATTCCTAGTAAGACCTTTATGTTTTAATTTTTTTCTCCCTTCTTCAATTTGCTTTTCTTGTTGATATAATTTTTCTTCTCTCTGAATTATTTTATGTTCTTCAGCTTTTCTTTGATGTTCTTTCCAGGTTTCCAATTCTTTAGTTGCTTTTATCCGTTCATTTTCTTTCATATCTTCTATCCTTTTCCTCTCTTCTTCTTCAATCTGAAAAAATTAAAATTACCAAATCCTTTAAAACATACAAAAAGCAAAATTTTGAAAATAAGAAATTCATTATAATAATTAGTTATTTTTACCTTTAAACACTTGTCATTAAATCTGCAGCAATAGTTAGCAGTGAATAAAGAATTAAAATGGGAACAGTAAATGATTTAGCAGAATGCTCAATCATATGGTGTCACTGAACAAAGGTCTTAGTTCCAGATTTACCATTAACTATTGATATGTTCTTGGGCAGTCACTTTCTCTAGCCTCAGTTTACTTGCATGTAAAATGTGGACAGGCATTCAATTAGATGATATCTAAGGGCTTGGTTAATGAAAAAAAAAAAAAGGAAGAATTTATTACTCTGAAAGTTAAGTCACTTGTCCCCAAATCTTTACACACACACAAATACACATATGCAAACATTTGCCTTTCTACCAATGCCAGTCTTACCTTGTCTTAGGACTGAAGTTGTGCTGACCTTCACCTGAGGAATGAGGGAATAATAAGGGAATAGGAAGGAGGAACTAGGGAGCTCGTCTCTGGTGGGTGGAAATGTTTGAACTTTGAATCCTGCTGTCAACTATGTTTGCAATAGCAGTTATTTGACATTTCCACATGAAAAGCTAAATACCAGATGAATGTGAAAGCAATACATTGCTCAGTCGTTGCCAATATTTCTCCCTTTCACAAACTTCCCTCATATGGGCAAGAAAAAAAAGTCCCTGTGAAACAGAGTAACTGGTTAGTATATACGGTTGACTCCATGTACCTAACCTTCCTATGGTAACAAAAATTTCTCACCTCTATCCTCTAGAGAAGCAGTGTCTAACAGAACTTTTTTAATGGTAGCAATGTTCTGTACTATCCAATACATTAGCCACTAGTCACACATGGCTAATGAAGCACTTAAAATGGGGCTAGTGTGACTGAGGAACTGAATTGGTAATTTTATTTACGTTTGATTAATGTAAATTTAAATTAATTTATTTTTAAATAGGACATCTGACACAGCTCTAGAATGACATGCTGGGAAAAAGTTTCCTAGAGGCTGAATTATTTTAGGATATAGAATTAACATTATAGGTATGAAAACCGTGCACTGAAGAGGTACTCTGTAATATTTGCATGAGTTAATACCCTCTTCTGGAGACTGTTTATTTTCCTATTATACCATGAAACATTTATTTTAAAATAAATTTCACAGATTACTAACAGGAATTTCTTATAATCCCAGAATTGCACCTAAGGCCTAAACTAAGCACAAAAGATGCTAATTACTATATGTCCTAAATTCAGAGAGCCGCATTGAGCTGCCAACAGGTTGGGCCAGAAAGAATCTGCAAGTGGCAATGAACCAGCATTTAAATGCCTGATAATAGGGGCTTCCCTGGTGGCGCAGTGGTTGAGAGTCCGCCTGCCGATGCAGGGGACACGGGGTCGTGCCCCGGTCCGGGGAGATCCCACATGCCGTGGAGCGGCTGGGCCCGTGAGCCATGGCCGCTGAGCCTGTGCCTCCGGAGCTTGTGCTCCGCAACGGGGGAGGCCCCAGCAGTAAGAGGCCCGCGGACTGCAAAAAAAAAAAAAAAAAAAAAAAAAAAGGCCTGATAATAGGCCATGATGAACAGTCAGTGTTAGCTAGAGGCAGCCACAACCTAAAAGAAGAAGATGACAACTTCCCCCTGTTTAGTAATATGTTTGCCTTTTTTCCCTCCTTCCTCTGTTCTCCAACACATGGAAGGAGGAAAAAGTATGTGAAGAGTCAGAACACCTTCACCCCTCATGACCCCTGTTATGCAGAGTGAATTTTGAAAAGGTTTTAAAAATGCATAAGACTGAGTCTTACTTACCAAAAACAAGACTGTTCTTATAACCAAAAGTAACAAGAAAGTTCTTCTATTATGCCAAGATGTAGTTAAGGGAAATATGTGTGTGTGCACGCACGCACGCACGTGTGCATATAAAGATGTATGTATATGCAATTTATAATAGGCTATATTAGAAACGCAAAAATAGTCCTCAGGGATTAATGAGGAAGAGGAAGGATTAAAAAAGGCTTCAAAGAGCAGGTGACAGAAGGAACTATAATGAACAGAAAAACATGAAGAAGGTAATACCTTATGATTATGATAAAGGCAGACTACATACAGCAAAGAGAAACAGAGACAGACAAATGTTAAACAATCCTTGAAGGTCTTATTTTAAAAAAAACATAATAAGGGGAATATACCACTTAAAGGAGGAATGTGTAGTAACTCAGAAAGCTAAAAAAATAATCACCACACTGAAGGAACTGGATTTTTAAGTGCTTTGTACTGCTCAGAAAAGGACGCCATATAGTATGGGATATTAGTTTAATACAGACAGCAAATATAAGTAACGGGAGAATAATGAGCAGCTCCTAAATGAAATTCCTGAAGAAAGGGAAATCTATAATTATTTTAATCTGGAATGAATCTCTGGTCTATCAGGCATTGTTCTTTTTAAGCCAATCTCATTTATTACATGTAAAAATAATAAATAAAATACTAGAAAACTGAATCAAGGAAAATATTAAAATTATAATACATCTTGATCAATGATGTATTTCTTATCTATGATATTAGGAAATCAAAAGAGAAAAATAATATGATCTCACTACATGTCAAAATACCCTTGATACTAAGAAAAAAAATTTTTAGATCAATAAAAGGACCTACACAATATTATGCTTCATGGTGAAGCATTAAAAATATTTCTAGTAAAGTCCCTAAGGCAAATATGCCTACTGCTTTACTATTTTCCTAGCGGGCATAACCTACACAACAGAATTTTTTAAATAAATAAATTTTTAAAATGAAAAAACTTTAAATAAATACAAATATAGATTATGCAAAGATAGAACCATCATTATTTGCAAATAATATGGTAGACTACCTAAAAGAACACAAATAATAAACTGACAAACTATTAGAATGAAAAGGAGAGTTCAGCGAGGCAATCACATACAAGATCAACTTACACAAACTCTTAAAACTAACTTTCCTACAATCTGGCAATAAACAATTAGAAAATACAATGGAAAAAGTCATTTCATTAGTAACTGTCAGAAAAGCTTTTAAAATGCTACAAGTAAGCTTCACAAAATATGAGCCAGCCCTATATGTAAGCTAAATAATTTTCCTGAGGGATATAAAATGTAAGTCTGAATAAATGGAGATAAATGCCACATTCCTGGAAGAAAATCTAAATATTTTAAAACTCAATATTTTGATATTCTGCAAATTAATTTATAAGTCAATGTAAGTCTAATCAAAATACCAAAAGAACTCTTAGGGAGCTTGATACGTAACTGTGAAATTTATCCACAGAAGAAAACATGCAGGTTTTATGGAGCTGTGAAGAGGTTGGCAATTCTCATCCATAAACATCAAGCATAAAACTAGACAAATTTATCAAAAACAACCAATTCAGGGCAGTGGGAATTAACCAAAGGCAACCTGCAAATTGATGTGTTTATTCTAGAAGAACTGCTAAAGTGGTAAGAACAGTGGGAGGCTCTGACCTGCTTAAGGTTACTCCCAACCACCCACCTCCAGCCAGGATGACAACACTGACATTTTTACCAACATGAAACTAGGAAAAAGAACCCAGCAGCTTTGTTAGCAAAAATGGTGGACTCATTTCAGAGTGGGGCAGTGAAAATCTGTGGCTTTGGTGGAGAAAAGTGGTAAACTTGGTGGGAATGAAGAGGGAAAATTTACAGTTGAGGTCTGAGGTTGAGGTCCTAGTCAGGGTAAGTGCCTGAGTAGTCAGAAAATTAAGAGAAAGATCATGTAAATTAGAGAGCCATAGAAGGTCTGTAATAAGCTCACCATACACCCCTGGTTAAACAGCAAGCTATGCATTTCTGGGGGAGACCTAAGGAAGCCCGGCATAAAACAAAGCCAAGGGATACTTGAGAACTTGCTCTATCTGTGAATGTACTTCCAAACCCACACACAGACCAATCAGCAACGGGGTGGAAGCCTTTCAGGCTGAAGGTATTTACTACCTCTGACCAAATCATTACTAACAAGTGAGTTACGCAGACACAGGGAAGACCCTCAAGGAAGCCAGTCCAAAAAACAAGAATTAAAAAACTCAGCAGAGACATCAGCAGTTGTATACCACAAGGGAGTCTAGACTGATCCCACAGTTAAAGTCCAGGCAAGTTACTAAAAAATGAACAATTAATTAAAACAGAACTCAGAATTACTATAATCTACTAACTAAAATGTCTAGTTTTCAACCAAAAATATATCAAGAAATAATTACTAAAGACTTCTCAAATTTGATGAAAATATTACATACCTCAGAGAATTTCAAACCAAAGTAAAATAAATACAAAGAGATACACCTAGATACAACTTAGTCAAACTGCTAAGTAAATACAAAAGCCAAACAAAAACAGGGAAATCTTGAAAGCAGCAAGAAAAAAGGGACTCATCATGGACAGGGGAACAATAATAAAATTAAAGGCTGATTCATCATTAGAAACAATACAGGACAGAAGGCAGTGAAATGACACGTTCAAAGCACTGACAGATAGAAACTAAAACTACCAGTTCTAGATCCAGCAAAAACATTCTTCATAAATGAAGATGAAATAAGTACATTCCAAGATAAACGAAAACTGAGACCAACTATTGCCCACAGACCTGTCCAACAAGATATACCAAAGAAAATCTTCAGGCAGAAATGAAATGGCACTAAACACTAACTCTGATCTGTAAGTGGGAATGAAGAATATGGGAAATGGTAAATATATAGGTAAGCATAAAAGACAACACAGGGACTCCCCTGGCAGTCCAGTGGTTAAGACTTCGCCTTCCCATGCAGGGTGTGTGGGTTCGATCCCTGGTCAGAGAGCTAAGTCTCACATGCCTTGGAGCCAAAAAACCAAAACATAAAACAGAAGCAATATTGTAACAAATTCAATAAAGACTTGAAAAAAAATGGTCCACATCAAAAAAATCTTA